TCTCTCTCTCTCTCATGAATAAATTTTTTAAAACTTGCAGTGAACCAAACTCTGGAAGCAGGAATTTTCTCTGGAAACTCTACAAAACTTCAGACTCATTTTTTTACTATTTAAAATATTCTATTTTTAAAAGATATGGAAGGTGTTTCATTATGTGAAAATAATGTGACTGATTCCATATTTTGATTCCTTATTTTCCGAATTACTCTACTTGAAGAGTTTATTTAGTGTTTGAGTGACAACATGGCCACTTTCAAATCGGTGGGGCCCACCCAGCTCAGTGAGGTTTTGCCTTATAGCTCCTGCTGGAGGGCGGAAGGGACCTGTGAGTGCAAATCGCAGGGTCTGCTCTGAGACAGGCTGTATTGCATGATGGTGGGAAGACCTCCTCTCACCCATTACTTTAGTGAGAGTGATGTGGCTCTTCAAGCTCTTTACCTTCAAGAGTGGAATCCATACAGGGGATGGCCTGAGGCCCCTCACAGAATCTCCAGTGTAGACCTCCAGTGACCTCTAAAGATGTACCATTGGACCAGCTTATCCTGCGAAGCTTTAATAACCTTTCTCTGTCTGTAAGTTTGAAAAGTCTCAGTACCTACTGTCTTTCTTTAGGACATTGATGGAAGGTCCCAGGGCTCACATTTTATGCTTATTAGTGATACTTTTCATGAGTTTCTAGGGCTAAAGGGATGTTCCTATGCTGTTTAATGATTTTCAGTTTAACTCCCTTTCCGAATGGGATGTTGTAAAGATTAATTAGCCAATGTTCATAAAGTGCTTTCAAGCTGAAAAGTACTGCACACGGGTGTACAGACTCATTAGCTTCTTAGTCATTAAGGTATTTTTTAGACCTTTTGGCGTTCAGAAACTAGATGATGAAGGCCAAATTAGTATTTTTTTTTTTTGGAGGAGGAGGGGGACATCAAGAAGGGCATGATAGAGTAGTATCTCTTTCTTTGTTTAAAAAAGACATCTTTTGTACTGGGACTAAAAAAAAAGATATAATTTTTAAAATTTTTCATTATCTCCTATTTGCATACTGATACTGCTTCTGCTTCTTCTTACTCCCTCCTTTCAAAATGGATTTGCCTGATTTTCCTGGACATTTACTTAGAAATTCATTGGATCATATTGTCATGTAGGTGTCCATAATGAAACAGACTTTCTCTGGCCTCAGAGTGTTGAATTGTTGTACCAGTGAGTGACACAGGGTAGATCATTCCCTTTGTAAATCAAGATTCCACCCCCCTCAGTTTTCAATGTATCTGTTATAAAGGTGTTATATGGTCTCTATCTTCAGTCATCTTTGACCAATATATTTAGAATTCTATATGATTCAGTTAAGCCTTTGATTAAGGCTAGAAAAGTACAGAATGGCCACCAAAGACAGAAAGAGGTCCTAGAAGAAGCTAGAAGACAAAGGTGGAAAATCTACAAAAAATGAGATTGACAGCTGACTTTTTAGCAGCATCAGCTGCACATGATGAGGGATATCTTCTAAGGGTCAGGAGAAATAGCTATCAATCTTGAATTGTATACCAAACCTAATTACCTTTTAAGATTGATAAGGATATTTTTTTACAAAACAGAAATAACGCATTTACCACCAATGCTAAAGGGTATTCTAAAGAATTCAAAAAGAGAGAATTATTCCAGAAGGAAGGAAAGACATGCTAGAAGGAATGAAGAGGAAAAAATTGGAAAACATGTGAGTGAATCTAAATAAACATTCACTAATAATAGTAACAACAATAATAATAATGTCTAGTTTGCAGCAACAAAACGAAATATAAGCAAAAAAGTAACGTATATAACAGGAAAGTTAAAGTATTTCCACATCCTTATCTTATTTGGAAGGGAGCTAAAGATGTTCAGTTTAGATTTTATTAAGTATGTACATGGACTTTCTGGTTTTAATCACTAAAATAAGGCAATAAAAAGTAGTAGAGGGGCAATCAATGCAGCAAGACAATAAAATAAATAGCAACTAGCTCAGTAAAAAGGGAATAAAGACATTTAACACGGATCTTAGTAATTGTTCCTGGGGCTCTTACTTTACAATTACAAATAAATACTCAGTAACTATGGTGGGGAATTCATATCAATACATCTAAAAGACCAACAAAAAATGAAATAGTCTTAATGATAAGTGAACAGCTGGTTCTGGCTTGGAATGGAAATGTTCAGTAATAGCATCATCTCAATGACAAAAGACATGGGTTATAGGAGAAGAACCTCAAATATAGGAAACACAGATGCTTAATAATGGACAGTAAGTCAGCCTGACCTCTGCCCCAAAGACAGATACTATCTTAATTATAATTATACAAGTCTCTTCTTTGCTCTGAAGAAGACACTCTATTCCAAGGCTGTTTATTATACAAACATTTTTAAAAGCTAGAGCAGTGCCTTTGTTTGTAAGCTATGCAGAAATGTGAGAGACCCATGGAGAGATATCTCCCAAAAACTTTGGATGAGTTTCTAAAGCCTCAGTTTTCCCATCAAAAATAAAATAAATGGCATGGTATATGTAGTTACAAGAATCAGATGACAGAGTGCATATAAAATGCTTAACATCATGTCCAAGGACTGTGTCAGTATCAATTACTACTAAAAATGATTATTTCTTGAATAAAATGTGAGCATATTTATTGAATTCTTTGTTTTCTCCAGCAAGTAGAATGTTACATTCATGGGTGTTTCTACTTATTAGGATCACCAAATATTAGAACTAAAAAAGATGAGAGAGATTAGCCAGTGAAACGTGGCATTTTATAGATAAGGAAATAGGATCAGAAAGGTTAAACGACTTGTTGACTTTCACACAGAACAGCCATGTAAATGACAATAGTCATCTAATTTAAAATTCACATTCTTTTTAATTATACACAATGCTTGGAGCTCAATAAATATTGGTATTACAAATGAATTGAAACAAGCCTATGATATATTAGAAAACATTTCACATATTCATTTGATCTCCTCTACCTACTTGCTTAACCTATAAACTATCTTAAACGTGGCCTCTGAAGGCAAATAAATACAGGAAGGGAGGAAGAAAGGAGGGGGGAGGAAAGAAGGGAAAAAGGAAGGAAAGAAAGAAGGAAGGAAAAGAAGGAAAGTAAAATAACCCATATCTCCTTCTCCCCTCCACCTCCATCATAGTCACTGTCTCCACAGCAGATAAAAAAAACAGGAAACTACAAGAAAAGTGCTTTCTATGTGTGTAGGTGATGTTGAAAGTGATCCCAATCTGGCTAAAGGCAGAGAAATTCTGGCAGATTATCTGGCAGCTTTATGTCAACAGCTTTATCCGGGCTTATCAACAAACTTCCTAAGGCATGAGGAGGAGTAGTAAGGAAGGGGAATGAGGAGTGACAGAAATAGCATCTTGTTCTAGAAGGAAGCATGTTGTAAGGAATGATCATCAGTTGTAGAATAAGATGACCTGAGTTCCTGCGTGAGTTTGAGCAAGTTACTGAATTTCCTGATCTCTGAAATGTAAAGTCTCTCCATGAGAAGTTGATGTGCTTTTCAAATGAAGAAATGAAGCAAGAGTGTCTGGCACCTAGTAGGTCCTCATTAAATAGGAGTTTGAATCAAATTCAGTGAAGGAATTTATCCTGGAAAGATGTATAAAAAAATCAACTCACTGATTTTATACCTCTGCTTAATACCAATCCCATCGTTTCTCTCTTTTCTTAAAGAGTGGTGTCACAGTTTTAGCTTACACAGCACTGTGCAATACTTTCTGGGCCCCGAGGTCAGAGTTGAGGATGCCCAGGTAGCCAAAACAAGATTTGAATAGGAAAGAAATGACAGGCAGTGTGGATTGTCCTTCATCTTCTGTCTTTCTCAAGCCCTCTGCAAAATCACCTCCCACTCTAGGTAATTGTGTTCTGGGTGTCCCAGGGCTCTCATGATGTCCACAGTTCTCGTCCCTCACCTATGGTGAACACTGCACTTCCCTCTTCTGGGCAAGTGGGAGCTGCTGTGTTTTGCAACTGCTCTGTACCACTTCACAGGACATTGTAGTGTGGTGTGTGTGTGTGTGTAAGAGAGAGACAGACAGAGACAGAAAAGGAGACAGAGGGAGGGAGAAAGACTATGGTACAAAACATGCCCTTTTCCTTCTGCTTAGAGAAATCCCAAAGCAATATTACTTGTCACAATGTTCTATGTTGTGAAGAGTTTAGGGAAATTGCTCCTTCGGTTTTTACTTGGGGCATTCTATTTCTCTTTGGAATCAGAGATTCTGGAGATGAATTTGAGTGTGTGTCAGGCAGTACTGAAAATAAGTGATGATGAAGTGTTGAGAAAGTCTTTGTTAGGATCAAGCCTGGCATACGTAGCTATTTCTTTCCATAAAAGTGCTCTTAAAGGATCCCCAGCCTTTCCTCAAACCAGCTTCTGTAGGATCATCCCACACATCTGCATACATCCAATTCTGTCAGCAGAACAAGCGCAATTTGAGCTCTTTTATACTATACGAGGCTACTAGGCCTTCTGGCCCCTAAGTTCCTACCAGGCCAATCTACCGGGCATACTGAAATTTGTAGCTGACAGAGTGTTGGGGTGAAGGTAAGATCCCTGCTACAGATACACATGTACAAAGAAATTGACTCATGGCCTACTGGCCTCCACATGTGAGTGTGGACACCTGCCTTCAATTCTAGATATATGAGTTTATTCATTTATTCCTTTTTCACTGATCAAAGAAGGGATATACAGATGATTTACAGTTCCCGTATCATAGTCATCATTGTCTGTTGCTTCACTGTAGATGCTCATAAATGTGACTGTCCTTAGTTAAAGCTTGATCAAGACCATCATATAGCTAACTCTGAAAACTATCCCTTCTAAAGTTAAGATACTAGTATCCATAATTCCATACTCAATTTCTGTGGTTGAAAAGAAAATATTATGGTCAGACCAATGCAGGGAAGATGGAATTTGGTGCAGTAATGTTTTAATGTTCTTAACACTCTCCTTACCCTTAGGTTATGCAGATGTATCTTCCATTTTGTGGAATTGCCATATCTAATGCTCAGCTCTTTGCTGCCTCAAGGAAAGAATATGAACGAAGCAGGGTAAGTAGAAAGAAATGTTATTGACAACTCTCAAAGCTCTCTGACTTTCAAGTGTCTGTGAGTCATCATGTCTTTTAAAAACAGCAGATGATCTTTGAATAGTCCAGGAGTCCTTTTTATTTGTTTAATCCTTCAAGTTTATGGTAGAAGATACCTTTGAAGCAGTAAGTCCAAATGGAAGTGGATACAAATTCTCTGTTGTCTGAGGCAAATAGTACTGGCTTCTTTTAAAAATGAAACTAATTTCACATCTATACTGTAAGGTAGAAGAGGTACTCTTACTTATAGCTTTAAAACAATAACACACTTTAGTAATACTTTTATAATTTAGTTTAAGAAGCAAGGTATGCTACAAATAATTTCACCTCACCTCATGAATTTTGCTTTTGAATTAAAAGTTTTTCTGGAAGAGCATCACAAGATAACTAGACAATAATGCAAACACTTTTATAGGATTATTAAGAGACACAAAGAGGGACTTTCACCAGCTATAGAGGTAAATAGGAAAGAAAGACTAAAAAAATGCTAAACTATCAAATAGATATTAAATAATATTAGGCTCATAATACAATAGATACAGGTAGGTATAGATAGGTACAGTAGATAATATGCAAACAAAAAATATAGTATCAGGTAGTGATAAGTGCTATAAAAAATGAAATGAGATGAAGAAGAGATAGAGATTGATCACGGAAGGATAGTTTGGAAAGATATTTCAGAGTATGATCAAGTTCTCTTTAAGATGCTATTTGAACAGAGACCTGAATGAAATAAAGGAGCAAAGCTACACAAAAATCAGGGAAGACCATTCCAAATAGTGGAAATGTCAGGTACAAAAACACAGGAGTCCATGTGCCTGGAGAGCAGAGAGGAAGAACTCAAATAGCCAAAGCAATCCTGAGAAAGAAGGACAAAGCTGTAGGCATCACACTCCCTGATTTCAAACTATATTACAAAGCTATTATAATCCAAACAGTATGGTACTAGCACTAAAAACATATACCAATGGAATAGAATTGAGAGCCCAGAAATAAACCCATGCTTATACAGTCAATATATATTTGACAAGGGAGTCAAGCATACCTAATGGGGAAAAGATATTTTTTTCATAAATGGTGTTGAGAAAACTGGATATTCAAATGAGCAAGACTGAAATCGGACCCATGTTTTATACCACTCACAAAAAATTAACTTGAAGTGGATTAAAGTTATAACTGTAAGACATGAGACTGAAACTTCTAGAAGAAAACATCGGGGAAAAACTTCAACGATTTTTTTTGGATCTGATACAAACTCCCAAGAACAGACTAGTGACCACATCAAATGAAAAATCTTCTGCACGGCAAAGGAAACCATCAACAAAATGAAGAAGCCACCTATGGAATGGGAGAAGATATTTGCAAGTTGCAATTATGTGAGGGGATGGATGTGTTAACTCACCTTATTGTAATAATCATTTCACAGCAAGTGCATGTGTCAAATTATCATATTTTATACCTTAAACTTACACAACGTTATATGTCAATCTTAATAGAGCTAGGAACAAAAGAAATAATGCTACTGGGACTAACTAGAGCAGTGAGAAGTGAGAGATTGCCCCCAACATTAATGGTGAAATATATGAAGCTTATTGATGTGGGAAATGAGTGAAAATGACTTTTGGCTTGTATAGCTGGCAAGTAAGTAGTTGGGTACAGGAGTCTAAAGTTTTGGTGAGATGTCAGTACTTAGAACTGTGAATATATAGATAGTATTTAAAAGTAGAGTACCAGATTAATCAATCTGGGGGAGAATATGTGGGTGTGAGAAGGGAAGAGGTCCAAGGATGAACCCAGGAGCAAAGAAAGGTAGTAGAAGAAGGAGGGGGCCAAATATAAGGGAAGTCAAGAAACGGAATATTCAGTTTTGTGAAGAGCCTCCAATGTCTGTTGAATTGCCTATCATCCTAGATTTTCTTCTCTTTTTTCTCCCATTGTGGAGCTAGTCTGTATTGTTATTTGTGAAACTTTTATCACTTGTTAGGAAAGCAGCAATTTTTAATTAGAAACAGTAAAATTACTATGATGTGATTTGTCAGTGCAAGACTCAAGGCACAATTAGTTTTTCCTTTGAGATAAATGTTCTTGTGTATGGGTCCCAGAGGCCCTATCCACAGAGTCACAACAAATTGAAAAGTTAAATAATTGTTCAGTTAATATGATCCATCTGAAGAAATAGTCTGGATGATTAAGGAAATAATGTTTTCCCCCTTAATAACAGGGAATTGTGTTGGTAATTATTCAGACAATTGCCTCATTTTTAATGTTATATTTAAATATGAAATTATTGCACATTGACTTCCTACAGCAATTTGCTGTCCAGATGCCAGACAGCCAGGATATGCTCAAACTTTTTTCACCTCCTGGTGTTTCTCCGCTCCATGATCAGAGAGCCACCCAGGGCCCTTAGCTGTACTCACAAGCTCTCTTTAGAGAAAATGCTACCAAGGATATTTGCTCCTCTTTTAGATGCTCAGTGAACTAGACTCATTTCATGGATCCCTTAACTCATTCAAATGCTTTTCTACCTGAATAGACTCTGAGAAGAAATTTTCACATGTTTCTAACAGTTTCAGGACAAATCAAATTCATTACTGAAGTTGAAAATTGGTCATAACCCTGGGATGATCATCAACACCATTTACCTGAATAGATGTGAATATGAAACCCCACAAAATCCTTTTTTGAGAGGTCAGACCTGAGAGTGTATATCTTATTAAGTCCTATTGAACAAAGCACCCTCTGGCCAATTCACTGGCTATGTAATTTTCTGATTGCTCCCTGCTAGAAGCATAATATCTACTACCTGTACATAGCCCACTATTCTGAAATCTCTGGAAAGAGCCATGTAATTAAAAATGCCAAGTAAATATTGTCTCAATGCAAAAATTGCAAGCCAACTTAGCTGGATAAAATGACAGGTTATTATAATTTGATTTTTAAGTGAGTGTGCAGTTTTCAAGTTAGAATTCTAAGGGTTTTTTTTTTCTTTAATTTGTGTGCTTTTCATTCTGTTGTTTTAACAGAAATTTTAATGGTATTTTCTTTCCTCGGATATATTTTAGTATTTGTGTTTTCCTGAACAGGTGAGATGAAGCAATACTTTTTGTGTAGAGGGATTAATGGGGATTTTATATTTTTTTGGAAGGCTCTGAAGCTTAATTAGCATTCACCCCTATAATTCTTACAGAGCTCTATGAGAAATATGTATTAGGGAAAATAAGTCTCAAGTTCGACCATGAACCTATTTCTTCCTGAGGGTGAGGAAGTGCTGCTTTGTAATTTTCTGAAATAAATGTGCTTTGGAGAGAATCCATAATTTATAAAATGTTGGGTTTATACCTAGTCACATTGCAGAAAAACTACTGTGGAGTGGGAGTGGGGGAGAAGCCTAGAGCTATAGTGGACTAAATGGAATTGTGCAGTCATTAGCTACTCAGGAGATAGTCCTATAGCTATATGTGGGATTTATATGGGATTGTATGGATTGGCACTATTCTCAAGTTGTGTTTTTCAGTTCAAAACTGTGTTGTAAAACAACAATATGTCAAAATATGATTATGTCAAAATAATCATCAATGTTTTAAAAATTAGCCACACAAAAATACTTATATTTTATTATAGCAAAGACTAAATGGACTTTTGAGAGGGAAAAAAATGTTTTTATTCAATCCTATACCCACCTAAATATATCCATTTCATCTTTCCTAGGCTTTGCTAGAGGTTGTTAATGACCTCTTTGAAGAACAGACTGACCTGGAGAAAATTGTCAAGAAAATAATGCATCGGGCCCAAACTCTGCTGAAATGTGAACGCTGTTCTGTTTTACTCCTCGAAGACATTGAATCACCAGTAAGTCATTTTTTTTTTTACCTGTCACATAGAGTTGAAGACTGTATTAAGGAACTAAAAGTTTACTTTATTTGTAATTTGTTTTGTGAAATCATTGCTTGAACCACTCTTCATGACTCTTCTCACCATGAGGTCACTTTTTCTAAACTTAAAGTTTTTAAAATTTCTTTTACATGTATTTTCAGTCTTGTTTTGCTGTCACCTTAGAAACATAGACTCTTGCTTTGATGGGGACGTTAGAGAGCTATCCCAGCCCTGAGTATTCACAGATGAGAGAACTGAGGGATAAGTCAGTTTGTCCACTGTCACCCAGCTGAATAGACATTAGCTCAAGTGCCAGGCTCCCATCATATTTACCCGCATGAGGAAGGCCCTTGGCATCTGTGGGTGAAGATGGCAGTCCAGACAGTGCTCCACAGCTCTCTTACGAGGAGGAAGCAGACAAATGCTGGAGAAGCAGTGCCCTTTGCTTTTGGAGCTCAGCCAGATAGTACTTGAGCTGAGTGGAGTGACAAGCCTCTGCTGGGCTCTGCTCTGCAGCAAAGGTTCGAAGTGCAGTTTCCAAGTTCTTTTTCTGCTGCTTTAGAGCTGGGGACGCTTGCACAGGTGGAGGAGGCTCCTTGCCTCTTCACCACAGGGCAGGCATCCAGCTAGTTCAAGACCTCCGATCTGTAGCACCTTGGCTTTCAGGTTTCTGTTAAGCCCTTCACCTCTTTGGGGGAAGTCCTTGGGTAAATGCACAACAGTACTGAAAATAATGATCATCATCAGTCTAACTCCTTGAAAGTTAAATGTCTAAACCCTTAGCAGCAATTTAGTATCTTTACTGTGAACTGTCTTCAAACACCAAGAATTGTCTAGCTCCTTAAGGACTATTTTAATACGGCAGAGGAGGGTATTTCACTGTACTTTACTTAGATAAGATTATTGTCTTTGCCTTAGGTTTGTTTTCCTCAAAGAGTAAGAACCTTAGGGTAAATTTTGGAGATTTAATAATAAGTATCATAAAACTTACAACATGAAGTTTTAAAAAATCTATAAAGGTTTAAAATGTTTAGGAGTGTTTGCCCCTATTTTAGCAGAGGTTGGCATTATTTCTACTTCAGCAGGTGTGGTTTAAATAAGCAATAACTTTGCCATTATCCTGTGATTATGTAAAACTCAGTGGAATCCTGGGAGGAATCCCCCTGCCCTGCAATAGCCCCTATTTGTGGAATGCTTCTGGATGTTGTATGAAGTACCAGAGTTCATTTCATTCTCCCTCATCCTTATGATATAGGTATTGTTATCATTCTCACTTTATGGAGGAAATGAGGCTCAGAGAGTTGAGTGACTTGCTAGAGTCACCCCCATGGCCTGACTCTAAAGCCCCAGAGAGGAATGAGGAGGGGTGGAGGTGCTCACTGGTGCGGGCAGGCTGTAGGCACTCACTAAGCAAGGGTGCGAAGAGGCAGCTGTTGGGGCTTCAGCTGCCAGGATCCCTGATCCCAGGTTCCTGTGAGGGCAAGTGGCTGGAGGGCCAGGTGGAATCAGGACCGGGATGAGTGGGCTGTTTGCTTAGTTGTAAACAGATATAAAAATAATTTGAACCAGTTCAGGATAGCCATACTTGATAATCTTTTAATAGGGACTAGTTTTTATCCTGTGACGTTCCTCTTTGGCACATCAAATGAAAAAGTACAGATGACAGAAGTGGATATGGAAGGTGGGAGCAGAGCTGTAGAGAAGAGTAGGAACAATATCACCTAATGTTATAAAGTACATGAGTGCTTGGGGTGGGGGAAATAAAAACCACTATCTAGAGTAGGTGATACCAGCATTAAAGGTGTTGACATATTACTGAAAGCTAAAAAGACCTTTTTGCTAGCACAGCTGAAAATTCTAAGATGATATAGTGGTGTTAGAGTAGAAAATTCCAGGCCAGTCTTCACTGCCTCTTCTCTTTGTCTATGAGTGAGGATGAGCTCCTCTCACCTAGAGGGCTGAGGTCTAGAGGTAAAAGTCAGCCATGTGCAGGGACGTCTGGGTGGCTAAGTGGTTGAGCATCTGCCTAAGGCTCAGGTTATGATTCCAGGGTCCGGGGATCGAGTCCCATTGTAGGACCCCCAGTGGGGAACCTGCTTCCCCCTATGTCTGTGTCTCTCATGAATAGATAAATAAAATCTTAAAAAAAAAAAAGTCAGCCATGTGCAAAAAAAGGAGCCCAATCTGCTTGGTACCATTTTAGAAGTTGTAAAGAGTTTTTGGCAAGACCAGTGCCTTGCTGTGGGAAGGCTGAGGGTGGGAGTGAGGTTAAATACATGTGGGTCACCATGCTCTCCTTTAGCATACTTCCCACCAAAGATTTCTCAAAACATCAGACTTATCCTGACTGTGTGGTAGCAGTTGTAGGAAGGAGACCAGACACAGTCATGCCAAGTATGGGAGGAGAAACCAAATGAACAGAATATGAGAAGCTGAAATCTGGTGCTGCACAGTTCAACAAACAGAAGCAAGGACGTGCACTCAGGGCTCCTGAGGTGTGCCTCTCCCAACAAGTATCCTGGTGGCGAGGAATATTTTAACTTTAATATGCCAAATTTATACATTTCCTTTTTGATTTGTGCTTTAAGAATTTGTGAAAAATTTTTATCTGCCTCCATGTTATAATGACATTCTCTTATATTTTCTTTAACCCGTCTGGTCTTTAAGGTCTTTGTATCCATCCAGAATTTTTTGCATAGGGTGTAAGGCTGGATATGTGTAATCCATGGTGTCAGAACCATTTCCCCCCACTCTGTAATTCCACTTCTGTATTATCGAGTTTCCCTATATACCTGGCTCTGTTTCTGAGCTCACTAATCTATTTCTATACCAGTACCATACTGTCTCAGTTTCTATAATTTGATAATATACTTTGATATCTGATAGAACAAGCCCTCAGTGCTGTTCTCCTTTAAAATTGGCCTGCTTATTATTGGCCTATTGCTCTCTCATAGAAATTTTAAGAGCCATTTATCAAGTTCCATGAGAAATTCTGTATAGACTTTGATTGAAATTGCTTTAATTTATACATCAATTTGAGCAATCTCTGCAATAATAGAATAAATAAGGGAAAATGGCTTAAATAATAGGAACACATGTGTTACGTGAGATGAAGTCTGTAGGAGGTGGTTCTGGGATGGTGGAGTAGCCCAGTGATATAATCAAGAACCTGGCTCTGTCCACTTTCTGTTCGTGTCTCACTGCTTGGCTGCCTTTCATCCTTGTGGTCCAGGAAGCTGGCACAGCTCTAGGCAGTGTGTCCTCATGAAACTGTGCCCCAGGAGAGGAAGAAAGGAAAACTTTTGTTCATATGTCTCTCTTTTTCTCAGGGAAGAAAGTCTTTTCCAAAAGAGTTCTTTTCTAGCTGACTTTTCCTCAGGATCCATTGGTCAAGAATGAGATATTGCTCAAATCATTCATATTCTTAATATTTTTCTCATCTTCACCTCTCATTCTTGATACAAGTGGGTTCAAGTGTTCAGTGTAACTGAGATTTATCAGTATCTTCTTATCCAATTCTGTAAGTCATTGATTTAGTTTTGTTAATATTACTTGTTCATGTGTTTCTGAGTTTGAGATAGGAGCTCATTTTGTTTTTGTTTTGTTTTGTTTTTTATATTTATTTTTTATTGGTGTTCAATTTGCCAACATATAGAATAACACCCAGTGCTCATCCCGTCAAGTGGCCCCCTCAGTGCCCGTCACCCAGTCACCCCTACCCCCCGCCCACCTCCCCTTCCACCACCCCTAGTTTGTTTCCCAGAGTTAGGAGTCTCTCATGTTCTGTCTCCCTTTCTGATATTTCCCACTCATTTTTTCTCCTTTCCCCTTTATTCCCTTTCACTATTTTTTATATTCCCCAAATGAATGAGACCATATAATGTTTGTCCTTCTCCGATTCTTATTTCACTCAGCGCAATACCCTCCAGTTCCATCCACATCAAAGCAAATGGTGGGTATTTGTCATTTCTAATGGCTGAGGAATATTCCATTGTATACATAAACCACATCTTTTTTATCCATTCATCTTTTGACGGACACCGAGGCTCCTTCCACAGTTTGGCTATTTGGACATTGCTGCTAGAAACATCGGGGTGCAGGTGTAGGAGCTCATTTTGATGGAAGTGTTTTGTTTGTGTCTTTTTATTATTATTATTATTATTCTCTCTTGTACTCTTCCCTCCCTATTTAAGAGTTTGTGTCATTCCTAGGCCCCTAGTCAAGAACCAGGTCTTAAGTTGGGTCTCCTGCTACGTAGTAATAAAACACTAAGCCAGAAGCAGCATGGTTCAGTTTCTGAGGGTGAAGCTACGTCACCTCTTTGTACTAATATAACACTAAGTCAGTAGCAGAATGGTTCATTTTCTGAGGGTGAAGCTACGTCACCTCTTTCAAGGGAACATTTTTAGTTCCCAAACCCCAGTAGAAGGTGAAATTCTGATCATTGCCACCTGCCTGTTTCTGGACTTGGAGGAGCACAGTAAGCCTATGTCTTCAAGCTTGACTCTCTAGAGATCTTTTCCTTTTTATATTCTCTGCTATCCTGCGTTTCTCTCTCTCTCTCTCTCTCTCTCTCTCTCTCTCTCTCTCTCTCTCTCTGTTTTTTAACCTCTAGATGTCTTTAAGATTTTCTCTTTCTGTATTTTATCAATCTTTGCTCTGTTTTTGGAAGAGAACGGATGTGTCAAAATATTAACTTATGGCATCATCTCAACTAGCATTCCATATGCTACTTTTTACAATTGGCGTGGGATGGGGGTGGGGTGGGGAGGCATCATTTCAGGAAAAAAATCTGCTGGAAGTTTCCTTCCTTTAAAAATAACTTTTGCTTTTTTCTATTTTATTAGAATCATTCCTTGAGACAAAACAACTGATTATTGCCTTGTGATTTGAATATTTAAAAAGCTGGTTACTGCAGATGTATGGTATTTCCTGGCCTTTCTTCGTTTGAGGGGAAGAGAAAGAAAAGAAATTGA